TCTTGAATGTTACTGTTTGCATACACAATATCAGTTGTGCGCTCTTGTAGCCTCTCTGTTATATATGACAACGAGTGAAGTAAGCGGTATAAAATTATAATACCAATTACTCTTTTTCCTTGTGCGTCCCAATGCGTACTAAACTCTATATTGAACTGTCCTATATTAGAGTGTATTCTTAAAATAATCTCTAACGCCTCTGTTATAAATGGTATAGCTAAATAAAAGTGTTTATATGCGGCATCTGACCATCATGTTTTGCACATTCCTATCAAAATATTTTTTCTTTGAGTTGATTTACAACGGATCTCTTCAACATGCTCCAGCAAGCGCTCTCTTTTCGGATATATTTCTGCATAACTCCTAAATGTTATCAATGATTGTTAATTTTGATGTTGCAGCAATTGATAAATTCTTGCATAACACTTTAGTCAGACGTCAGATTTGAAGTATAACTTGAAATTTCAAGATCACTTTTTTCGTTCGGAAAAGATATTTGCTTTTTCAAGTAGGCTTTTCAAGTCTAACTTGAAAACGGCCGGTTATACGACTCGACTTGAGCTTTCAAGTTAGACTTCGAGTTCAAATTTGCTCTTTTCACTCCACCCTTTAACTTTATAGTATCTCTTTCATATCCGATGACAAAGTGGCTAAAATAGTATGAAAATTATATATAAGAGTTTCATCAACTTTCAATATCTCAGCAGTTGATTTATAGTTAGCGAAAGCTCTGCGGGCAGTATTTCCATCGTTACTAGTACCAAAAAATTTAGAACATTTTTTTTTTTTGTAAACTTTGCCTTCAATAAAAGAAATTGCAATTACAGAATAGCTTTATTACAAATATAATCGGCAGGACTTCCGGAAGATCATACAATTTTATCATGAAGCCCTTTACAATATCAAATATAATAATAATAATATCAATAAAATCAAATTAAGCAATAAAAATAAATCAACATAAACTATATATAACTGTGCATTTAAAATATAAATATACTAGATAAATTATATGAAAAATGTGAAACAAAAGAACTAAAAACAAGAAAATATATTTTCTGCTGAAAAGATAACTTCTTTAATTTTTCGTTTAAAAGAAGTTAAAGTCCATTTCAATGATAAATCAAAATTTGGTAAAACTATTTTATTTCATAAATAAGGACCGCGAAAAGAAATAATTAGTTGTTCAAATTTAGTTTGGCAGAAAGGCTCTTGTAGATTTTTTTCATTACGAAGATTGTATTTGTTCATGGGTTTTACATTATAAAGGTTTATAAATACATCAGGAGATAAATGATTTTTACATTTAAACATGAAACATAAAATTTAATAAACATTTAGTTTGTATACATTTAAGGCTTTCATTTTTCTCAGAAGTTGTTTTTAATTTGAAAAACAATTTGCAAAATTAATTAAGCCAGCTGCGTGTTCTGATGCTGATAAAAAGATTTAAGTTTAGTTTTGTGCGCGCTTCCCCATACAATATTTGCATAATTTAAATGGCAGTGGATAAACGAATAATATAGTTGTTATAATTGTTATTTATTTAAATATATATAAACTTTATATATAATTTCAATACTTTTAGCAACTTTCAAGGAGATATTATCGATTTCCCAGCGGGCACAGACGTCAATCAAACGTCTTACGGACGTCTTAACTAGGTCGCGACGTCTCAGACCAAATTAGGACGTCCTAAAGACGTCCGGTAAAGACGTCTATGTTAGGACGTCCTTGTGACGTTAATATAAAGACGATATTAGGACTTCGGTATTTAGACGTCCTATTGACGTCGCTTAGGCCTACATTAGACGTCCTAATTACCTTAGAAATAAGTAGAAAAATTATTATCAACTTGGCGCTTACAATATTATGTGCTAACTCGGTTAATTAAATATGTCTACTTGTTTTGGTTGATTATTTTGAGATAATTAATTTTGTTTAGTTATTTATCGTTTAAAAATATTTTTTAATTTTCTATATTTTATACTCTATGATCTATAAACTATAATCGATACAATATTTAAATAAAAGAAAATTGAGTTTAGTTATTAATTGTAACAAGTAGTTCAAGTATTGAGTTTAGTTATTAAGTTACAAGTAGTTCATGGGTTCATGGGTTACATTATAAAAAAAGGGAATTTTAACAAAAGACATCAAAAATTCACCACGACTTTTCACTTTGTGTTTTATAGAATAGTAATAATATTTTGTGTGTCTATGTTATATATAATATATATATATATATATATATATATATATATATATATATATATATATATATATATATATATATATATATATATATATATATATATATATACATATATACATATATATATGTATATATATATATATATATATATATATATATATATATATATATATATATATATATATATATATATATATATTGCATACATTAATTGGCTTATGCTAATTATGTGTATAGTAACATATTGCACCTTCTAACATCGTGTGCAACCCTGTCCGCATTCTGTATGCTATCTTTCTAACACAACTTCTTCTGTCTTTTACTCTACTATTCTTCGTTCATCCTAAACTCACTTTATTCTTGGTCCGTAGAGCAGGTAATGACGCTATTTATACATGAAACACATGAAACTTTAAGTCGCAATATAATATTATAAATATTAGTATTTAACTATTTCCTGATACTGCGGGTAACAGTAATATATATACTATATATATATATATATATATATATATATATATATATATATATATATATATATATATATATATATATATATATATATATATATATATATATATATATCATCAGGCAAGTAGTCAAAAGTTAATTTTGCTACTATGTGGTTAGAAAAAATTTACGGTTTATATTAGTATTTTTGATCGTTATGGGACGGAAACTGTTTAGTAGTTAAGGTTAATGTTATTATTAATTTGTTTTTGGTTAATATATGTGAAGTTGTTGTATGTTTTAATGTCTGTTACAAAAATACGATTTAATAATAATGTGAATTGTTTTTAAAAACTATTGTATTAAAAATAAATAAATAAATATATATATATATATATATATATATATATATATATATATATATATATATATAAAATATATATATATATATATATATATATATATATATATATATATATATATATAAATATATATATATATATATACATGTATATATATATATATATATATATATATATATATATATATATATATATATATATATATATATATATATATATATATATATATATATATATATATATATATATATATTATATATATATGTTACAGCTTTGATGAAAGCTACCATTAGTATATTACACTGAGAGATATCACACCTTAAGTCAAAACGAGAATAGACTTTAAGACGTTTTTTACATTTATATACTATATCACTATATATATATCACTATATGGTGCGGTAACACCGTAGAATGTGGTTGAAACGATTGCGGCTTCTTGTTTGAAACTAAAAGTATATAAATGTAGAAAACGTCTTAAAGTCTATTCTTGTTTTGACTTAAGGTGTGATATCTCTCAGTGTAATATACTAATGGTAGCTTTCATCATAGCTGTAACACGGTTACTACTAGCTATAAATTATATTTCTTATAGCTTTAATATACATTTCAACGTGGCTAATACGAATATACATTAAATGTCAACATGAACCGAAGTGATCATCTATATGGAACTTTATCTTCTATTATTGTGATGGAATTAATTTAAGATCGCAAGAATTGTGTTTATTATAGTTTTTTTAGTAGCTGTTCTTTATATGATTGTATGTATTTGTTTTAAGTATTGCTTTTCTCTTTTTTTTTTTTTTTCTTTTGCAAATGAAAGCCATTGATTTTGTTGCTGTTAGTTGTTTTAAATAAAAGTAAGAAGTATATGGTTTCTAATTTAAATACAACAAATAATACCTTTAGAATAAACATATTAAAGATTAAATAAATGGTAATAAAAACCCAGTTTTTTCCATTTTCTATCAAAAACTCAATGTTGGAATAGGATAAAAATGTGTTTAATAAAGTAATGTTTACAGTCTTTTATACTGGAACAATATTAAAAAAATCACTACTAAAATAACAATGGAAGTGTAATTTCTTAAATACCCGATGTACATTGAACAGCAAAAGATGACAAAAAATTATGAAGGATTGTTTTTGATGTTTTAATACTTAATAAGTGGTGTGCTTAATTTTAAAGTATCAGATTGTTTTTTGAATATATCGAAACTTATAGATTAATCTAAAATTTAAAAATATACTTCATTTTTAAAGTTACAATATAGTTTTTTGTGTATTCAAAGCACTTTTATTGTTTTTTGAATATGTTTTATCTGAGTGCTAATAGTGATAGAGTTAGAGAATATTTATATTTATATATATATATATATATATATATATATATATATATATATATATATATATATATATATATATATATATATATATATATATATGTGTGTGTGTGTGTGTGTGTGTGTATATATATATGTTTATCAAGCATGTGTTAACTGTCATAGTTGTAGCTTAGAAGTTGGTTTACTTATTTTTTGCATTACACTTTTGTGCTTTGAAGTTTAAGAGTTTTCCGCAAAACAAACAAACTTAAATATAATTTTAATGTTAAGATAGTTATGATAGACTAGGTTTTATTTGTTGATTTTGTTCAATTCTTTATGTGATTGTTATCTTTTTATTTTCATATCTTTTAAATTTGTGTATCTTATAATTTTTAAATTTGTGTATTTTTTTGCCATTTAAAAAAAAAATGTAGTACTTATATAAATTGCTCTGAGTTCTTTGTAATATTTAAGTTATAGACTATAAATAATCAGTTAAATGATAATTTTTTTGGCATTTAAAAAAAAAATTAAATACTTATTTAAATTACTCTGAATTTTTTGTAACATTAAAGACTAAATAATCAGTTAAATAATAATCTATATAAAAAAATAAATTACTCTAAACTAGTTAAGGATGTCACAAATATTAACTTTTTAATAATACTTTAGTAAAAATAAATTATCATGGCTGGTTTTCTTGATGATGATCCAGTTGCTGGGTTCTTGCAACAAGAGGAAGATCAGTTAAGAGAGATCGGCATTGAGGATCAATTTTCTATCCCTCCAAGCAATAGTAACTCTAAATATATGGATGACTTTTCTATTGATTCAGTACAAAATGAGACCCAAAGTTATACTCCTGTATATTTATCATCGGTTCCTATTGAAGAACCTGCATCATTAGTTAAATGGAGGGAAGAGAAGGCTGCCTCCTTAAGAAAACAAGTAAATTTTTTTTATTTAAAATCTATATTAGAAGAAATATGGTTAATGGGTTATGGTCAAATATGTAAACTTTGGTAAAAAGTGGCTATTTTTGTGTATTTGTATTTGTTTTATTTTTGATTAAAAAATAATTCTCAAATAATTATATTTGAATGAGTATTTTTGTATTTTCATAAACTAGGTTAACTAGTGTTTTTTTGGTAAATACCCAAAAAAACACTAGTTAAAAAAGTCAGGGAAATTCTAAACTTTGTTAAAAAGTTATGGGATATATTAAATTTTACAATAGTTGTGGAAAAGTCAGAAAACTTAAGATTTCGGTAACAAAATAAATATATATTTTTGCGTATTTGACACTGAAAATCAATATGTTTTTTTACTTCATATTTTATTTTGTTGTTTAAAAATGTTTATAAATTTAAAGTAAACAGTTTTTAAGAAAACTGTTTACTTTTAAAAATTTGTGAGTTTTATTTGTTGCTTAATTTATTGCTGCATTTGTTAAATTTACATGGGTAAGCAGACAAAATGAATTTTTAGTCAGGAAAATATCATTTTAGTCAGAAAAAATAAAATCAAAAATTGTCTGGCCACCCTGATAAATTAAAAAAAATTTTAAAGAAATATATGTTAGAAGACTTGGTTTTATTCTTCTATAAAGTAGACCATTTTATATTTTATACTTTTCCGTTTAAAATTTAATGCCAGCGCACAAAAAAGCCCTGGCAAGATGGCCATTTTTAAGCTAGCTTATGCGGTTTAAAAAGTTCATTTTGTCTGCTAATTAAAATATAATAAAAATAGCGAAAAAAAATGCTTTAAATAAATACTAGATAAATTAATTTAAAAGTAAATTGGTAAAAAAAGCCATTTTTCATAGAAGTTGAACAAATGAACAAGATAGTTTTGTTGCAATTTAAAACTTAATGCGATTTAAAACAAAAAGTTTTTGACAAGCGCTTTTTTATGTGCTAGCTAATGTTTTTGCGGCCATGTGGGCTAGGGCAAAAAGACTTGAGTGCAAAACCGCTGAATAAGCACAGAAGACTGTTTTCTGTGTTTTCTTCTTCACAATCAGTCTTCTGAGTATTATAATTTGTACTTGGAAAACTAGAGTTGATGTATTTGTTCAAATGTATTTGACTCCAACCCTGCAAGTCAAAAATGATTTTAATATTCAAAATTATTGATATAGATATAAAAGTGACAGAATAGTTAGTGCTTTCAAAATTTGAATAATGTCTTTATAGGCATGTTTAAATTAAGTCTTATACTAAACTTAAAGGAATAAATTTTTATTTTGTTTAGGAAGAGGAAGAAGCAATAGCTATCCAAGCCTGGAAAGAGAAATCCAAAAAGGATCTAGAAGATTGGTATAACCGTTACGCTGAGCAGTTAGCTAAAGTCACTAATGAAAATAAAGTTGCAGAGGAGCATTTTATTGCTGAGATGACTGATACACAACCTGGGAATGAATGGGTGAAAACTGCACGTCTATGTGATTTTAACCCAAAATTTAGTAAGAACACAAAAGATGTTTCTCGTATGAGAGGTTTACTTCTTCAGTTAAAACAGAGTCCTCTCGCTAGATAATTTTTTGTTTATTCTATAGTTTCCTGCTGTAAATTTACTGGCTGGTTTTTTGCAATTTTTGTTTTAGTTAATAATCCCATAGTTTTTAATTTATCTTTTATGTAATAAATTTATATATATTTATATATATATATATATATATATATATATATATATATATATATATATATATATATATATATATATATATATATATATATATTTGTGTGCATAAATTATGCAGATGTAATTGACATTAAATTTAAACTTAGAACTTGATTCTTGTTTGTATATTTTTTTTGTATAATAAAAATTTGTTTTATATTATCGCAGAAATATATTCATATTCTCCGATAATTTTTTTTTAATAATCTATATTAATTCTTCTGAATAAGTTTTACTTTTTGTGTTTGAATTGCAATATTGTATCGATTGTAATGTTTCTTAATAATTGTGTCTGCATTCTTGTATTTCTTGCTGTTGTGCAACTTTTTTAAATTGTCTTTATCAAAGTCACTGAACCAAACATTTAATCACTCTACACATATCAGTTCGCAAATTTTTTTAATCAGTTAACGTTTATCTGAGAGTAGCATGAAGGAACATTAGTCATACCTCAAGAGTTTTATCTAGAAATGTTTTTTATTACAACAACTTGCTTAATAATTTTTTACTATTAAAGTACAAAAAGCTAAATTTTCGTTTTTTAAAACATTTTTTTCCAAAGTTTCATTCTTTAAGGAGCAACTACCCTCAAATTTTAAAACAACACATATAAAGTAACTTTTTCTTTAGTTATATAGTAAAAATTATACTGACATTAAAAATACCAAAAAATACATAAAATGGTAGCTTGTTGCTATGGCAAACCAAAAAATAGCTAAAAAACTCACAAAAACTGTGTTTACGTCGTAAAAAAAAATATGAATTATGATTAAACGAGTGTCAATGAAATTTTGTATAACTGTTCTAAATATGTTATTTTGTAATATGAGCTAAGCAGATTTTTGAATATTTTTTTTTTTGATAAAAGACTACAGACAAATTAAGTTATTAAAAAAAGGTCAAAATACAAAGAAAAAAACTAAATAACTCAGTCTTAAGTCATATGAGAAATTCTACTCCGCTCATATCATAAACATTCGTAAAATGAACAATCCCTGAAAATTTCATCATGATAGCATGTATACTTTTCAAGATGCGTGTTTTTTTATTATTTATTTAAAATTAAATTCTCAGAAAATAAAATCATAAATTACTATTCATTTCATAAAAATATCTTTGAAAAAATAACTTTTTAAAAGGATATTTCAAAAACTACCAGATTCATAATATTCCTTGGACTTTTCTTATGACTTTTGATTATCATCCTTTCATAATCGTTGACGTCGTAACATCTTTCGTTTCATCTTAAAACTTACACTCGATTTAAATAATGATAGTTTTATTCGTTTTTTGTTTATGAGTCTGCAACCAGCTTAAGTAAAATTTCCTGGTTTCATACTTAGTTTTTCATAAATTAAAATGGCAGACTTCATACCATTGTTATAATTTGCAACAGCATCGAACACTCTAAACTGGCTAATCCAACATAATTACTTTTTGGTAATCTATCCCATATTAAACTATTAAAAATCTCGTTGTAAGTCTGACTATTGCCATGCAGACACTTTACTAATTCAGAATCTTTACTTAAATCAGCATATATTGGCTTGATTTTGTGAATAATATCCGCAGGAATTCCTGACCCAGGTTTGTATATGGAAGTAGACTTTATCAATGTTAAACTTATACCCACTATCACCTCCAGTTGGGCAGTAAATATGATAGTTAGTTTCCTTAGAAGAAGATACATAGAAAAGGCTAGCTAATACTGCTTGTTTCATTTTATTCAGATCATTTGTATTGCTCCGGATAGCAACACCAAAAATTTTTTGCAAGCGATCAATAACTGCATTGGTTAGTCGACCACGACCACCTAGACCCTTAATATTTTTTTTAACTTGCGTAAGCGATTACCGACTCGTTTTTGGTAATTTTCTACACACTCCAACTTTTTCACTTCCATGTTTGGGTATATATCTTTGATAGAAAGATGGGATTTACTCATCACTAGTTGCAATTTCTTTCATTTCAGTTGCAGCATCTGACATTGTTTCGTTTGCAACACTTTTATTTTAGTAGTAACTTTTGAATAGTTTTTGGGTGTCATGGGTTTTGGCATATTCATGAGCTGAGTAAATTTTTCAATGCCAGTATGACCATGGCCTAAGACTCTCATTGTATATATTGTCCTGTTGTTAATATCAAACCCTTTATCACAAGCAACTGATGTATAAAATTCATATTTATAGTCACTAGATAGTGTAGTACACCTTAAATATATCAACGTTGCTAGACCTTTCTTTTTTTTCTGACGATCACCTAAGTACAGTGCACACTTTTCACATTGAGGACACATTTAACAATGAAAGAACTTTAGATAAAATTTCAGTGTCTATAATTCTGTAACCAGTAATTTTTTTAATGTTTTTACTTGGTACATTTCTAACAACTTTTACTTTTTTAGCTGATGCGCCTAAAATATTTCTTTCATTAGAGTCACATTCACTTACATTGCATGCATTTTTATTTTTCTTCACCTTAAATCCTCTTTTTTTTTGTGGTAATATGTTCTCTGCTTTACTCTATCATTAATATTTTTGTTCAAAATAACACCCAAATCAGTAGGTTTTGTAATATTTTTTAATTTCTGCTGTTATATAAATAGTTTTATAGGAGAAGATTAAAACTATATATATATTTTTATCTAAAATTTTTGGCATAAAGAGTTTTATTAATGTTCTTTAAAATGTCAATAAAAGCTATTAGGTGTTTTAATTAATAATTTAGTCTTAAGCACACCTACGCGGATTTAATTTAACCACAAATTCACCTCAGTGGCACCCCAGAGAGTAAGCTATGCGGTATTGAAATCAAACGTGTAATATTACTACGAAATAATAAGTATGTGATAATCAAATGATAACATGAATTGTAATATCTATTTAAAGCCTTTAATCTTGCAAGCTTAATTAAAAAAGAAAAAAAAAAAAATAAATAAATATTGATATTATATTTCAAAAGAAGTTTACTAAAATCTTATATTTTACTCAGCCTGTACAGCCTTTTTAATTACCTTTTTAGATATAATAGAGCAAGTTTTAGGAGTAATATCACGAAGTAAACTCATAACAATAAAAGAACATCTTCAGCTATCTAACAAAATATATCTTCATAAATAAATCTTTATGAAAATAAATTAAGAAAAATGTTACGCATTGACATTAAAATTACAAAAAAAAACTCTATCAATTACTCAAAAAATAACAACTGTCATCGTAGTTATAGTTTAACAAAATAAAAGAAAATTAATCATTTTTGTAAGGTAAGTTGTCATAAAATTTAAGGCAATCTTTGGGTATATTACTTTTTAACTGTTCTAAATGTTTATATTTTGATTTTGAGATTAGCAATCTTTCAGTAAAAAGTTGTGGTGGAATCGCTGATTGAACTCTTTTTGGTCTTTGTGATAATTGTTTATCGTAACTTAATTTGAAATCTACTGCACCATAGGGATTGTATTTTAGAACTCTGATATAAAGCAAATAATTTGCTCCAGTACCTCTTCCAGGACGGATTGTTTTATAAATAAGGTAGCTTTTCATACTATAATCTTTAAAAAGTGTATGGTCTACCATTGCTACTTTTTATGGAGATGGATTGTGTCTAGCTTCTTTGGTAACTAACGAGTATTGATTAAGGTAAAAATATTTCACGGTGTTTTAACTTTCTTTCTATTACCAAATGAACTTAATCTACCTCCATTTGAGTATGACCCTTTTCTGAAATTTTTTTTGTGATAACTACTTTTTTTTTGCATTGCCAATTGCAGAAGTGCGTTCGAAACAATGGCATTTCTATTTTGTGATGTGCATCCATCAGTAAAAATTATGACATCTTTTGGGGATTCATCAATTATTTTATTTAAATAATCAACAAAAAATGACAAGTAAGTTGATGCCTTCAAATCAGTTGTTGTTTCATTAAACCACTTTACTTTATTAGTTCCAAGAATGTATATTGTAAAATTATGAACCATCAGTTTTTTTAAAAAGTATAATGCACTGGCTGTCAAGTATGGACTGCTTCTAAATCAGCAGTGATAACGTGAATTGTTCCATTTTTCGAAACTATTTTGTCTTAAGCTTTTTCCTGTCTAGCTAAATCTTTCCGTGATACATGTTTTTGATACTTTTGCTGTGTAATATTTCCTGTTTTATATGAACAACATAAATTGCATGCATCTTTCTTTGGTTGAAACAAAGCTATGCTTTCATTTTTCAAAACACCTTCAAATAGTTTTCTGGAAGCCACTCTCTGTCCATTTTTTGTAGTATTTTTAATGTAGATATAATAGAGCTGACGTTTAGATTTTATTATGGATTCTAGATACAATTTTTTACTTTCAATTCTGCCGTAGTGAAAAAGCAATTTAAGTATAGCTCTTAACAATATTTGTACTAGCTCTTTCAATAAATGGTAAGGCCATGCAGTATCATTACGTTTTGTTGTTATATCACTATTAGATTTTTCTCCTAGCCAGTACCTAACTGTCCACTCTTTAATACCGAATGTTCCTAAAAACCTCTTTAAACATACTCTCATTTTGTTGTTATTTAATTTTAAATAACAACAAAAAATTTTTTGTAATACTTCACCTTGTATTAGCCCTTTCAGTAGTTTTTCTTTCTATCAATTTTTTATCAACTAAAGATAAAATAAAGATTTTTTTGGCTAAATAGCTCATCTTCCAAGAAAGGCTTTAAAGAAAATCAGTCATTTTCTTTAAAGTTTTCAATGTCATAAATTAATGTGCTTATCTTCTTGACAAGAGTTTGCTGTTATTCGCCATTTTACTCTTTATTTATCTAAACTAAAAAAATCCGAATGCATCAATATTCATAATGATTTACATTACTTAGTGATATTTTAAACTAAGTATTGCATTTATATAAACTAGCTAACGTACAAAATGTTCACCATACAATATTCAGTATTACTAATGACAAAATTAGTAATGTGAACTGTGCTAATGACATTAGCACGGTTAAGATAAAATTTATATAAAAAGCTAAAAAAAAATTTAAATGCTAATTTTATTCAAAATTATTTAAAACGCCAATATTAACAATACTAGTAGACTCCCATCATATTCAATTTAGAAGTAGGAAAACTTATCTTATACCAAAGGTATAGTCAGCGCCGGATCAAGGAAATCTAGTAACCAATTTATCAAGATAAAAGCGAATATCTTAGGAAATTGATCCTATCGAAAATTGCAGTGACCCATCAAGGAATCCGTAGTGTAAAAAACCACGCGGTATTGGTCTGTATAAACATGTAATACAAATATAAGTGTA